TTAGCCAATTTTAAAATGTTTAAATAACTTAAGCTAAGGATTTCTTGATCACTCTCATAATAAAAATCTTTATTAGTGAGCTCCATAAACATTCATCAGTATTCTTGTGAGCATGAATCTCATGCTACTTTTTTCCAGAAGTATGAGTGTATAATTAGTATTGAGGAGTAGTTTGAGTCTTTGTTTTGTTATATTGTCCTTTTATGAAGATTTTGCCACTGGAGTTTTATTTCATTAGCTTTAGTAAGCAATATAATCAGTGATAAATATCTCCAGAGATTTATCTGAATTATGCTGTATAATCTTACAAATGATTACTGTTAAGAGACTCTAATTCAGTTTTGCTGTTTCACCATTCTGTTACCTCCAGAATGTAAACTCATTTATTGTCCTTTAGGGATCATTAAATCAATAGTGAGAAATCCCGTTTAATGACGTTATCATACAAAACATCTTGAAATGGTACCTGTGGCAAGAGACGCAAGCAATTGATATCTAGATGCTGAAATTTGACCTCTCTCATTGAAAGGTTTGGCCAGATCATTTGTAACACAAACCAAGAGATCCTTTGTTGCAGTTATGTGAGTTATTATAATCTCCCAGTCATACAATGCCATAGGGTTTCCATGCACCCTCTTTAAGATCTACTATTCACTTGCCATTACTTAATCATGACTCACCTGCATGAAGTACAATACCAGTATTCAGAATTATTAACTCTAATTTTGTTCAATACACACATGGAGATTGTCTGTAACTTTAGTTCATGTAATACCCTGCGTAGTTGTACTCGGACTGTCTTATACTGGAATAGTTTATTATATGACTAATTAATGTCCTTCACACCGACATAATAGTATTTGAAATTTAAGGAACTAGGTGTCCGGAATGAACTTTAGTCCATGTAGTACCCCTTCATTGTTGTGCTTCGTACTGTCTTATACTGGAGAAGCTTATCGTCTGACTAATTAATGTTCTTCATGCCCTGATAATACTATGAAATTCAAGGATCTAGGTGTCTTGAATGATAACATATTTTCTATGTTTATTATGATGATAACTTCTCTGTGATCTTTTTTGCCAAATTTTTTATATTTTCTCAGGCAAGGAAGTGCTGTTCTGGATGTAAGAGCTGGTGGAAATTTGAAGGTATTTATTCTTTGTAGAAGGTGTATGGCAAAACTAATTTCTGCTGGGAAATCTTTTGATGGTTATTATTATCTCTCACCGTTACATGTTATATTTGGAGTTCCTTTATAACTGTATTTGACTTTTTTTATCTCCATGGTACAGCAATTGTTAACAAACTATCATATATCTTACCTCATCTTATATGACCTGATAAATTTCTGACATTTAGATTATTTTCTTGTTTTGTTTTATCATTTTTTTTAATCACTTAATATTAGAATTGCCTTTGCTCAACAAAATTATTTTGTTTGCTTTCTGACAAGAGCATGTCAGTTAGGAGTTTAAATGTTTGGACGTGCAGGATTATTTCCAGACAACTTACAGATTCTTGGATCTCTCACCACATGTTTTAATTCCAATGCATGGTAGGATCAACCTTTGGCCAAAACGGATGCTTTGTGGATACCTCAAGTATGACACTGGTTACTGTATGCATGTCCTGTTAAGTAATTTTGACATCATTCTATTGATTAATTTAATGCTTCATGTCATGGACCAAATCTGTTCAATAGTTAAAAGGGGCACCCATTAGATAAAGTGCCTGTAAAGGTACCTGGAACTAATGGTACTTCCATCACTTTCTGGGAATTTTTCATGTAGAAAGGTCATGCTCCCTTTCTTGTGCTTGTATTTGTGCTACTGCAAATTAGAGGAATTGTCAATTTAAGAGATAGATTTTTGAGATTTTCAATATTCTCATCAACAAATATGGGAGAGGACAACTATTGTTTTGATTGTCGGGACTTGGTTTATGTTGAATCATATTTGTTTCAGTTGATATGATTATCTTAAGCTGAAAAGCTAAAATATTCTTTTAATCTTATTCTGAGCACTCAGGTATGACTCATCTTTGTCTAGAAGACTAAGGTCGACTCCATTGTCGAAGTAGCACATAAACTAAATCAAATTATGCTTTGAACTTACAAAGTCAATATTTTTGCATAAAAAATAAAAAAGGTTTAATGATTATACCTTCATTTTGCAGGCACCGAAGAGACCGGGAATTGTCCATTTTGAATGCCATTGAAAATGGATCAAAAACTTTATTTGATATAATTTCTAAATCATATGCTGATGTGGATATCAAATTTTGGCTTCCAGCTTCTTCGAATGTAAGAATTCATGTGGATCATCTTGCCTACCAAGAGAAGCTCCCAAAGGTAATTTCACTGCGTTATTTATCAAATTCCCTACCAAGAGAACATGATGCGCATCTACAAGTGCACCATCTTGACTCTGGACCTCTCTTGCCTCAATGTGTGTCACCTTTACCCGTCATGTCTTGATCATGATTTGAGCCACGACATGAAGCAGAATGCTTTCTATTACTAAAAACTGATGACCAAGTGGTGAAGCTTGTGACTAGTTCTTGTTGTGATTGGTTGGTATTTTTAGCCATGAGTTACAATTGGCTGTGGTTATTAAGGCCTAACTGATAATTGTAGGTTTTAGTATATTTCAAAGTGTTATTTCCATTGAATGGTTCATATACTCTTTAGTCATTGATTAATTTTGTCTAAGCCATGAGTTACAATTGGCTGTGGTTATTAAGGCTTAATTGATAATTGTAGGTTTTAGTATATTTCGAAGTGTTATTTCCCTTGAATGGTTCATATACTCTTAGTCATTGATTAATTTTGTCTGAACCATGAGTTACAATTGGCTGCATTTATTATACTTAATTGACAACCGTAGGCTGCAGTAGATCCCCAACTGTTTTTTCCGTTGCATGTTTTATATACTGTTGAAGCATGCAGGATTTCTCCATGGAAGATTTCATTCGCAGTTACGAGATGTTCCTTGAAGAAATGGGTGTTAGCAACACAGAAGAATAAATCAATATGAAGCTTGTCGGATTTTCTCCTCCTTTCTCTTCGATTATGGTTCGTCTTTAATGATGTCCAAGTGAATATATTGTAAGACTATGATATATGAAACCGACAAAGAAACTGACCGGTGATGGATTCTTTGTTCATAAATAATGTCACGAGTCATTCTGTATTTGGTTGCAAATGATCGTAACTTGTATTATAGTATTCAGTGACCATTAATCCCATGCTCCTATATCTGATAAACATTGACCACTAGGCTGTTCTATGATGAAGCATTTACAGAAACAAACAAATTCCGCTTTATTAGAACATTAACCTCACCATTTGCATTGGTTATGCAGGATTTTTCCATTCAAAAATTCCAAGCATCCTGTGGGTCGCATTTTCTCTGTCGATGGTCGTGGACATATTTGAAGAGCCGAGGCATTGTTAAAGTGATTGGAGTTATCGGAGCTGCAAGTTTTGCCATTGCCTTTTCTGTAAAGGAGAAATTCAGTGGATGAAATCTGAACCCCTTTGTTTTGATCCACTCGCTTTGGTTTGATTTCCTCGTGAACTCGTGAGGAACACAGGAAACAAGTTAGATAAATGATCTAAGATGCACATGATCCCGATTGCGAAATTGTTTGCTGCGGAAACTATTACAAGCTTCGATGTGCATTTTTCCATTAGGTTTGTTCCTTCTTGAATTCAACACCTTCTTAGAGGTTGATTAGAAGCCACTCATTGACTTTAAGCTCATGTGATTCTTCTCTAAATTTTGTTTTACTAACACAACAGTGGTGTAACTTATTTGTAATTTGTTTTATGCCACTTTTCGTCGACTCTTTTACGTGCCATTTACATGTATGATACATTCATTGCAAAGAAAGATGTTCCAAATGCAATCATACATTTCGGTGTTTGGCACGATACCTCTGGACATCTCCCAAATCATACATCTTTTCTTTGTTTATTTCTCGTTCTCTTTCCTGAAAGCCGGATGGCCATTCCATAGCCATCCTTGCAAAGCCCAGAGATTACAGGGGCTGTCAACTCCCACGCTATAAATATTTCGAGCCACTGCTCCCATTTGGATCCCATGAGAAGCGAGCTAACCCTGCGAACAGCCACAACCAATCCTCTTGCCTTCCTAATCAGCCTGTTCTCGACAAGCATCTCCTTCATCCGACGCAGCAACGCCTTCGACACCTTCCGCTCCGCACCCTTTCCGAATCACCGCCTTCGCCAACACCCGGATTGACCGGAAGGAGGCCCACGTCCTCAAGGCCGACCTCCCGAGCGTCGAGAAGGCCGGAGGCGGAGGATGGCAGGTCGCTCAGGAGGTCAAGTCCATCGACATCTCCGGCTGCTGTGAGCTTATGCGCCTCTGACAACGTATTAATACTGCGCTCCGGTTTGTCGAGGCTGCTCGACCAAGAGAAGAATCCCCACACGTCAGCTTGATTCACGAGCTCGGCACACGTCATGAGTGCCTTTCGATTTGAAGGGGGCTCATTCTTCGTTCATGAATCGGAGTCGGAGCTGCACACGCAACGAGGCCGCCACCGTCCGGTGTCCCCCAGCGCGGCGATCCGCGCCTCCTCCTGCCCGTCCCTTCTCCTGCCGAAACGTGTCCTTGACGCCACGTGTCAGGTTACCAACCATCTGATCACTTGAAAAGGATATTGTAACCGTATGCTGATGGCAATGCCAGGCTTCATTGAGCGGTTAAATTAAATTATTCGCTAATCCCTAACCCCAATCTTTCTCCTATTAATACCCCCTCCCACTGGCTTTCTTCCTTCCTTCCTTCGTTGCCTTCCTATCGATCGACCTCAGTTTGCAACCCTAATCGCGGCGTTTCTCCGATTCCTTTTCCTTCCTTCAAGATTCTTCCTGGTTCTGCCCCCCTTCTATTCTTTCTTGAGGTCGCTCGCTTGCCCTGCCGGTCGGGCTCTAGGGTTCGGTTGCATACGACTTCTTGAGGTTTCCGAACCCAGATTGGGGGAATTTAGGCGTTCTTGACGGGTTGATCGGGGCCTGGGTTCTGTAGCCATGTTGGGCACGAGTTTGCAATGGGGACCTGCGCACCAGGGGGATCGCTCCTACATTGCCGTCAAGCCGCGGAGGAACCATCGCCGTCAACACCAGCGGAGCCCGCAAAGGTCCCGGTGCAACCCTTCCACCGCCGCCGCTGGAGTGTCCCCTGCCGACCCTCCGGTTTCCAAGGACGGCGGCGCTGTGGCGGGGGTCGCCGATTCCCGTGACTCGAACAACCAGGCTGGATTGGAGGAGCCACCTTCGAAGCCCCTGTCGGTGGCCCCTCGGCCCTGTAACTTGGATCGATTCTTGGAGTCCACCACCCCATCGTTTCCCGCTCAATACTTGTCCAAGGTTCGGAAAGTTAAGGCTCCTTTTCGTGATCTTTTTTTGGTTCTGGGAGTTCTATTCAGGTTTTCTTGGTTTTCAGACGACGATTAAAGGGTGGAGGACTTGCGATGTGAAGTTCAAACCGTATTTTGCTCTTTCAGACCTCTGGGAGTCATTCAAGGAATGGAGTGCTTACGGTGTCGGTGTTCCTCTTCTTCTTCATGGCAATGATAGTGTCATTCAGTACTACGTTCCCTTCTTGTCTGGGATTCAGTTGTATGGTCAATCGCGCGCCCCATCTGCCAGTTCTAGGTATTGATTCTTGCGACAGTTTGGAGCCTTCCAATCTTGATTTCTTCATCTTGGCACGAAAAATATTTCTTCTTGCTTTTGTTTATCCTCTTAGAAGTAGCTGCCATGTTGAATTGTTTATTGCATATATACGTTGTTATATATGCATTCTATTATTAGTGTTATATGTTGATTCTTCCTGATATGACTTGCCTATTGGATTTTGGTAACATAGAGCAAAGTAACTGGGGCTTGTTCAGCATGTCATCTTATCAAAGTAATTGGGGATCCTCTTATCTATGGAGTGAGCATTGTGAAATTCACATAAGTTGAATATGTTATGTTGGTTAAATTCACTCTAGCACGTGGAAGATAGCACTTCTGTTAAGTTCACCATCTTTAATCATTTGCAAGTTGTATGTGAATACATAGAGTATATACGGAAATAGATTTGGATACATCTCTTTATCCATGGATTGATCTCTTTATCTTTCTTTGTTTCGAACTGATGGTGTAGGATTTATTGCTGTACCATCTGATGTCCTACTTATCTAAGTTGTTGACTAAATAGTGATAAACTGTCTAGTGTGTGTATTCATGTTTTTATAAAACAGGAGATCAAGATGCTGTAGAAGTTATGAGAAATTTGGAATGTGCTACTTGTCTAATGTTTGCATGTTCTTGCACGATCTCATATGATATTATCCTGCTCTGATGATACAATTTGGTTGTCACTTGAATGAATCGTTCAGCCTTTCCTAATATTGCATCATGTGCTAAGCTAATTGTTAGCCGATATGAAGTTCTGTAGAACAGTTCATGTTCAGGATGGATCAGACCATTTAAATCACATTGGTGGGGGGTTGGATAATTTAAAACAGATAGAAATTGATCAGACCACATTGAAACCTGAACGATCGGAATTAGCTAGTAATGATTGAGACTTGGTTGAGATGAATCAACTAGATTAAAACGTTTGAGAGTCGGTCAGATTGCCTGGAGTACAGTTCAAACTTAAAACTGGCTAGAATCTGTTTCAGACTCTCTGGAACCGGTCATGCATGATTTGGCTGATCATTAACATGATGGAATTGGCCAGTGCAGCTGGAATTGATTGAAACTAGCATGGAATCAACTAAACTTGGTCTGGGTTGGCTAATTCCACCTGATGATGCCTAGTGGATCTCTGGATCGGGCACTGCTGTAAAAATAGTATAACTGTGTTCATCATATTATTTATGAAATCTTGAAGTATCAGTCTCTAGTTTTCAAATTAACTGGTTTGAGGAATCAAACTGAAATTTTTACATTTTGACCTTTTCATAATCTATGTTTCTTCTTCTGTAGATACAAGTTGCTCCTAAATGGTTAAGTCTTTTCATGCCTAATAAAAGTTATTTCTTCTTGCATGTTAGATTAAAATATCACCACTTGACACCTAGATCTTTCATGAACTCTTTGCTATATTTTGTCAAAGGCCATTGCATCTTTAACATTTTCTTGGGCTTCCATGTGCATTGGACATGGTTTTTTTTCCCTTTCAGAATGGAAAGAGCCTTTTTATGACTCTGTTCTATCCATCAAAAAGCAGAAAACCATATTGCAAATTTCATATTGTGAAGTTCATTATTTGTGGATATGGATGATGGTTACCCTGCTTGTTTCTTGTATAATTACTACTCGATAGTGTATGATTCAATATTTGTAATTATTTAAGGCTTCCACAAGTTAGCCTGTTCTTATTAATTATGCACAACAGGCAGATGAGTCAGGAAAGTGATGGAGATTGTCGTGATTCTAGTAGTGATGGAAGTGATGAATATGAGTCTGAAAAGGGCCTGAACTATTCAAGTGAGTGGATATCAACTGGTGGCACCAGTCTGAGGATGAATAAGTTGTATGTGAGTGAGAAGCAAGCACACAGGCAAGATGGATCCTCTAGCGACGATGATAATTTTGGAAATTCTCAATGTCATCTGCTCTTTGAGTTCCTTGAACAGGATCCTCCATTCATTCGTGAACCTTTAGCTGACAAGGCACGTTTCTCAACTTATTGCAGGCATATATGTCCCTAGGGTTTTAAACCTGCTTATGATGATGACCTTTTGTGTCTCGCAGATTTCCGATCTTGCTAGGCACTTTCCTGCACTAAAGACACTTAGAAGTTGTGACCTGTTGCCATCCAGTTGGCTTTCTGTTGCATGGTAAGATTTATTGATAAAGTCTTACTTGCATCATGGATGATACTCAAATATTTCTATGTGCAGGTACCCTATATACCGGATACCAACTGGCCCAACCTTGAAGGATCTGGATGCTTGCTTTCTGACCTTTTATTCTCTTTCTACATCGGCAAAAGGTAATCTCTATCTTTTCCTTGTTTTTTTTTTATTTAATGCTTCCATGTATAACATTATGATATTTTGATTTAATGGTCATTTTTCTTAGATGGAACGTAGAAACAACAAGATTGCCCCTTTGATTATTGATTATGCCTATTGCTTCAGTGATTAAAAGGACCAAAACCTTGAAGAAGAATGTTAGATCCTTTTAAGTTAAAAAATAAAGAACATGAAACATCAGATGCTGTCTTGTATGATTTTGTACTTACGTGCTGTGCTTTTCGTGCAGATGATGGTATTGCTTGTCCAAGCATTAAGCACTCGCAGGAGGTAGATGGTGTACATATGATATCTCTTCCCCTTTTTGGGTTGGCATCCTACAAGTTCAAAAGCACTGTATGGACTCCTAATGGTGGGTCTGAGTTGCAACTGGCAAACTCCCTGCTGCAAGATGCAGACAACTGGTTGCGCCTCCACCATGTTGAACACCCGGATTACAAGTTTTTTGCTTCGCATGGTGCATACCGAAGATGAAATCTAGCAGTTAGTGTCTAGGTTTTCATTGTCTAATGTTCCCAATAGGATGAAACTGATGACTGAAAGATGGATGGGTACACGTACACATCTTGGAGGCCCTTCACTATTTTAGTGGGCCCTTGCATGAATGTTGTTGAGAGCATGATTTAGGAAAGTAGGGCAGGATAAGGAGAGCAAGGACAAAGATTTGTCGAAATAAAATTAAAAAAAGACAAATGGGAAAAAAAGAAAATGGCAGAAAAGATACCTCTGCTGGAGGGCTGGAGGAAGGGAAAAGAGGGGGGAAAAAAAAAAAAGGAAGGAAAGAGTAAAATAAGATGATGATGAGCTCGATGAATTGAAGGGGAACTGAACGCTTAAGCTGGTGAAAGATGTGCCGTGCAGGTTGGATCGCCCTGGGAACTAGATCTGGTAGACGACGACAAAGGGGTAAATGTTCTGTGTGCTTTTCGGTTCACGGATATTGGAGTGGACATAGGTTTTTTTGTATTATGTCCTCATAAATCAGAAGGTCATGCCTAATAATATTCTTTGGCATGTCCGATGAAGCCCCTTGATTCCATCTAATTCAGGCTAACTTGATTGTATTTTTTTGTTCTTTTTCTTGTTCTGTATGACTGGAACTTTTTTAACCAATAGGAACTGGGCTTAGGTATGTTCGTGATTTTTTTCTTGTCCGTCGATCATTAACGGCATTGTCTTTCTAGGGAACATTTGTTTTGGATGCCACGAGCTCAGCTCCCGTGTGGCTTACTTATTCTAACCGACAAATGCAATCCATGTGGTGGAAGCTAGGCTTGCCCGGAGGCATGAGAGGTGGGCATCGTTCGGCTGTTCGTTGCCCGATGCCGCACGTTTGTGTTGGTGATGACCCGTGTCGTTGTTCTCCCTTGCTTAAATCAATCCATCAAGCGGATTCCACGTCAGTTGTCGCGGAGCCGTGGTAAGCTGGTACTCTTGATTCTCGAGCCTGTTGGTGAGTCGTTGTGGATGTCGGTGCTCGTCCCTTCGTGCTTAATGCTGCAGCAGTTCAGCACATCATTGTCTTCGAGTGAGCGCAGCAGCGAATGGCCAACGTTCTGCTTGGATGCATCTTAAGATATACACGATCACCAGGTCGATGGTGCCGTGCGGAAAATAGACGGACGGCGACAATGATTTCATCGCCCGCCGTGAATGACGCAAATGACGCGAAGACGTAATCTCGACAGGGCAAGGCATTTCCACTATGAGGTAGCCAATGTATGCTCACCGACGTTACCGCCTTACCAGCGTTTCCGTCCCAGAATGTACCCTTTTTGCAGTACTCGCCACTATTAACTACTTCAACTCACCAAAGTGTAGGTGAGTTTCAATGTTCCGTAGGACCTAACTCCGTTACCTTCTTATTCGAGGAAAACGTCACGAGATCGGAGAACTGGGGCCCCGAGGAAGCTGCGACGGACGACACCAGCGATGCAATGCAATATGCCATCCATGTGGATTGATAGTGGTGGTGGCCCCATTCACATCACATGCCTAATCCATTGAGGTTTGCCCCAGCGGGCGACAAACTACGCCCTCATTCCTCCTCGGTCGAATCCACTCTCTGGACCCCCCATAGGGAGGGGAAGACCGCAGACTCCCCCCACACCCATGTGCTCGCACACAACCAAAAAAAAGAGGTCGTCCGGTCTTCATGGGAGAATCCCTCCCCACCCCCCACCCCCCACCCCAACTCACCAACCACCAGCCTCGCCTCATCTTAGTTTCAACATAAGAAACATAATATACACACACGACGACTGCAATCGAGCAAGTCGGAACCCAAACTACGATTTCACTTACTATCATTCACATAATGAACTGACAAGCTCCATTTTGCCTAACTGCAGATAAAAAAATAAGGCGTTGAACAGGGCAGCAGAGGGAGCTACTAACCTCATGTATCCATCGGAGCACATGAATCCCACCAACTTCCAGCAACATTTACTGGCCCAGCGACCCTCCCCGCCTGACTCATGCAGCTGCCATGCAACCAACAGCAGTCCCACGTACATTCCTCTTATAGACTCTAATCTACCCCCCATTGCGATCGCACGGTATAAACTAGATACACCGACATCACTTCAATAACTTCACTGTAGCAAAAGCGGGAAAATTGAAGGAATGCAGTGAATAGAAAAAAAAAGAAAAAAAAAAGAAAATAAATATTTGAAACACCACTTGACAGCCTGGACTTTTTGTCCTCATCGCTCCCTCCCTTACTGACCTATTGCTAACATCATCATTACTACTAACTATTACTTACTTGCTACTGCTGCTGCTCCTTTGCTTCTCAGCACTTGTTAGGGGAGAAGCCCACCACGGCGTTGTCGAGGTCGAAGCTAACACGGATCTCCTGCTGCTGCACGTTGCCGATGATGGAGAGTGACGCCGAGGTCGGGGCGAAGGCCAGGCAGTAGGTACCCGCGTCGTCCACCGGGACCAGATAGTTCTTCGCCGGTAGCCGCAGCTCCTTGCTGCTCGGAAAGTGGAACCCCACCGTCGGCACCTCCACGCTCGTCCGCGACGACAGGTCGTAGCATGTGTCGAACAGCGACCACGCCGAAGCCGACGGCAGCGACGCCGTCCCCGCCCGGAACGCGTCACGCAGCGCGGTGTAAGTCGGCCCCTGCAACCGCGTTACCGCGGTGCCCGAGTCTACGATCACGCCCCCGGCCCCGCTCTCGTCCATCGCGAAGGCTGACGGCGGGATGGACAGCATCTGCCCGCCTACGCTGATCCCAGTCAGGCCGACGTAGTGGAAGGTCGCCAGCCGGCGGTTGCGGAGGAGGGGCGCGGTCACCGCAGGGGCCTCGCCGGATTGTGCGGCCCCGGCGCTGATAACGAGGGTGGAGGAGGATGAGGAGTCGCGGTCCACCAGGCAGTAGGAAAAGGAGCGGGCCGAGATCTGGGAGGGGAAGGAGAGGGGCCCAGCACCAAGGGCGAGCAGCCCGGCCGCACCGACGAACAGGCCCTCGTTGTCGTGGCCGCACCCGATGGCGACGCCGGAGACGGGATCCGACCGACCAAAGGTCAGCGTCTCCGTGGCGAAGTCCCCGACCGTGAACGACCCATCCCCGTAAGAAACCTGGTACAGGCAGCTCCCCTCGCCGCCACTGGCGACTGCAGCTTTGGTCGAAGAAGAGCTCCGGCAGGCTGAGGCGTCGAGGGAGCGGCATTGAGACGAGTCGCAGGAGATAGGGGCGTAGGAGGAGGAAGCGGAGGGGTCGAAGACAGGGTCAGTCTGCTGGTAGCAGTCGGCGCAGGGGAGGCACTGTAACCAGCTGACGTCGCTGCCGGTATCAAGCACCATGTAGAACGGCCGGGCGGGGCTGCCGACCCCCACCCGGGAGAAGTACTCGCCGCTCCCCACGCTGGTCCCGGAGACGACGGGTCCCTCGATCGAGTCCGCAGCGGCGATCGGAGCGGCCTTCTCCTCGGCGACAGGCTTCAGATCGGACGCGGCGACTCCGCTGACAGCCAAGGCGGCTCGGGCAGCGATGGAGCGGACGCGGGCGGCGTCGCGGCGGAGGCGGGCGAGGGTCAATGCCTTGTAGTCTGGGTGACGGTGGCCGGCGGAGGAGGGGAGGAAGTCGCGGGAGTGGAAAGCAAGTGAGATTGCGGCGGCGGAGGAGTGGTTATGGGGGACGAGGTAAGAAGGGGGTTGGTGGGAAGAGGGAGAGAAGGTGAGGGCCTGGAGGGCTTGGGCGCGGGTGGCGGAGACGTCCAGTGTGGCGGTGGCGAGGGATCGGGTGCTCCCCGGCGGCAGATGACGCGCCACTGCTGGGTAGGTGGAGAACGTGAAATGGGAGAGAAGGAAGAGGAAAAGGAAGTGGCAGCGGTGTGTGCTGTCCTCCGCCATCTGATATCAACGGCGAGAACAGAGGTGGCTCAGCGGGCGAGAACGTTGGGGAGCGAAATTTAAGGGGTAGAAGGGAAACAAAAAGGACATTTGGTTCACGTCATCATCCACCGCGTCAAAATGATACGCTCGTACCACAACAAAGGAAAACACCCCCCATCATCCACCGTCAACGTCACATCAAGATTGATTTATATCATCACCGCCTTCTTCTCTCTGGACCGCGCGCGATCAGGAATCATTGTACCCTTCTGGGAGGTACAGTACACCGCTTTCTTTCGCCGCGGGGCCCCCTCCGGTTGAGGCCGCACCCTAACTCGTCCCAAGGTCGATTAGGGATACCACCACCCTAATCGAACTTGTCACGTGATTGGACATGGATTTCGATTTGGGCTCGACACGGTCACCCTAATTGAATTGACTCTCTTGTTTACAAGGGTAATGAGAGACGGATTCAAACCTCATCTCCCTCGATAAACGTGAGATAGGGTATGGATCGATTGGGCTCGCAAATTTGGACTCCCAACTATTTGGTACAGATCGTTTGGGCTTTCTTGGAATCTTAATAGTGGGAAGGAGACCAATAGGAAGGCCCACCCGATTGACTCTACCCTCGTTGGCTCGTCTGCTCCTTCCAAGACCTAAATCCGCCTCTTTTCGCACCATCCTGACGCCCGGTAAGCCCACCAAGGAGGTATCCGTAACTCACACAGGAATTCAAAACTACAAAGCTCTGGACACCGAGGGTGAGCAAAAGAAACACAGATTTGAATGATTGGTTGCATTTTTTCCAAATTTTTGGCGTCTTTAACGCCATCCTGACGAGCGGTAAGCTCACCAGGAAGGTATTGCTAACATATATAGGAGTTCATACCGACAAAGGTCTGCTCACTGCTGGTGGACATAAGAAGCTGAAATTTGGATGATTTGTTGCAATTTTCAAAAATTTTGGCCTCTAAGGCCATTATGATAAGCGGTAAGCTCACCTATTCGGTATTCCTAACTCATACATGAATTCATAACGGTAAGGTCCGCTCACCGGGAGTGAACCTAAGAAACTTAACCTGGATGATCTATTAAGATTTTTCGAAATTTTTTCGCCTCTTTGACGCCGGCCTGACGAGCGGTAAGCTCACGAAGACAGGAATTCATAGATTACAAAGCTCTGCCGACCGTGGTCAACAAAAGAAACTACACAGAGGCTGATCTGGTGCAATTTTCGACTTTTTTGGCCTCTCTAACGCCACTTTGAGGCGCGGTAAGTGCACCAAGATGGTATCCCAACTTCAAGGGATTTTGACAGAGTCGTATGTTTGGAGCGACATTATCGAAATTGCATAATAAATCGAAGCAAATTTGGTCTTCGAGCAGCTCTTCTGTCAAGGTTGGACCGTCTCCATCAAAGTCGGCCGCCATGAATCGCCGAATTGTGGCTTGGTCGAACGAATTGTGGTGGGCAATGGAAGCTTTCTCGTTGGCGAGATGAAGGCCACTGTCTACCTTTGCTTAATAACATGGCAAGGCAACCTCGCGATCGCAGGGCCACCGTGTACGGGTTGCAGCCACACACTCGAAGCAGCCTTTCCTGCATCGACGACAAGTAAACGGAAAGCAGGAGATCCTCCAAAAGGCGATGCATCGATACTTGCCTCTGTCCTTGAGCTCTCTGCTGCTTCTGCCGCCCCGGGGGGACAAGTACGGTCTCTCCTTTCTCCTCGGCGGAATGGGCACCGTCCTCGACTCCCATTTCTTGGCGCTCACCGCCATCGTTACGGTTAGCCCCCCTCTCTGTTGCCCTCCTTCTCTTCTTTGGATATTTGGGGTTTCTTTGTCGTCATCTGTGTTCTGTAATTGGGCAGGTGGGTTATCAGTTCCTTTTCTTCGTCGTCACGGCGCTCCTCAAATTCGATAAGGTCACGGATTTTGCCGGTAAATCCACCTTTTGCTTGCGAGATTTTCCTGTAGGCTCATGTCGTCAATTTGAAAGGTTTTTGTCACGGATTTCCCCGTATAAATTGCTCTAATGTTTTCAATCAAGAAAACTGAAATAGTGTTAAACAAGAGGTAAAACTAAGAATACGTAGAATAATTATAAAATATTTTCAAGTGTACATATCTTTGCTTTATAAATCATGATCTTATTTATAAGATCTAATGGTAACTATGCCATCCATGATTAAGTTAGGTGCAGAAATTACTCGTGTGATAATAATTTTTTAGATCATGAGCCACTTAGGTAGAATTATTTAAAAAATTGTTAGAACTTTCTAAAACATGATAACTATCCAATATAACTATCTATGAATCAATTTTCAATACTCCCCTTTGATTCATAGTTACATATATCGATTTGAGATATGAAATAAACATACTTCTGAAATGGAAGTGACTTGGTGAGAATATGTACAACTTGTTCATATGTATAATAATATTTTATTATTATGACTCCACTTGTTACAAGATCCCGGATGAAACGATAACGTATCTCTATATGTTTCATTCTTCTACGAAAGATTGGATTCTTCTTCATTACAATTGTGGTTTTGTTGTCACAAAATATTTTAGTTGCCTCTTTTTGTTCTTGATGAAGATCTCTAAGAAGTCTTCTAAGTCATATTGCTTGATATGTTACTGATGTTACAGCTACATATTCTACTTCCGATGTCAATAATACAGTTGTTGCTTGCTTCTTTGAACTTCAAGATATAACCCCTAATCCGAGGCTAAAAATATTACTTGAAGTGCTTTTTCTACCATCCAAAGCTTTTGCCCAATCATTGTGAGTGAAACCAAATAATTTATATTTAAAATTATAAAAATACTAAATGTCATAATATATAGTTTTAGCAATATAACGCAGAATTCTTTTAACGGTTTCGAGATGATATTTGCTTATATTATGTATAAAACCTGGATACTACACTAACAGATTAGGTAATATCTGGTTGAATATGAGTTAGATAAATCAAACGTCCAATCAAACTTTTGTAGTACTTGCATTTGTCAAACATGTACTATCGTCAAGTTTCAATTTCTTATTTATATTCATGGGTAGTGCTACAGCTTTGCAATTAATCATGTTAGACTTTTTGAATAGATCTATTGTATACTTTCTTTGTGAAATAAAAATTTCATATGATCCTTGCTTCACCTCCAACTAAAGAAAATAGTACAGTATACTTAGATCTAACAGTTCAAACTTATTCATCATGCATTTTTTAAATTATGTGACATGATTTAGATGAACCCATATATATCATCAATATAAAAGCAAACCATAAAAATATTATGTTTACCTTTCTTCTTTAGATAAAGAGTAGGTTCATTATTGCTTCTCTTAAGTCCATTTTGATAAAAATAATAATCAATTTTATTGTTTCATGCCTTTGGAGCTTGTTTAAACCCATAAAAAGTTTTTTTTAGTTTATACATCTTTTCTTCATGTCGTTTAACTAAAAAATCTTTGAGTTGAGTAACAAAAATCTCCTCTTGTAAGTCTTCATTTAAAAACATAGATTTTAAATCAAATTGATAAACGAACCAACTCAAGTGAGCAGCTAAAGCAAAGAAAGGTCTCACGGTTTCGAATATAGCAACCGGATAAAAAATATCATCAAAATCAATACCTTATTACTGTGAATATTCTTTTGCTACAAGCCGAGCCTTATGTTTTTTTATACTTTCATTTGTATTATACTTTGTTTTGAACACTCATTTCAATTCAATAGTTTTCTTTTCTTCCAGTAGATCCGTTAGCTTCCAAGTTTCATTCTTCTCAATTGACTTGATTTCCTCCTTCTTACATTTCGTTATTCCTCTTTTTCAATTGTTTCCCCAGAACTTATAGGATCTGAAATAAATAAATCAAATGTTGAATCATAAATTTCTGTTAGTGATCTGAATTTTCTTAGAGGAGTTTTATATGAGGAATTATTTGATGACTCTAAACTGCTATTGGGTGAGGCTGACGATAAATATGTTGGAGCAGGATTTGTCATTTGATTATGTAGAGTGTCTAATTTTGCAGGAATCTAAATTTGTTTTTCATCTTCTTTAGTCTCCCAATTCCAACTTACCCTTTCATCAAGTACAACATTTATATTAATAGTAAATTTGCCACTAATAAGATTATACAATCGATATACTTTGGATTGTAAGGAATACCCAATTAAGATGTATTTTTCAGATTTTTCATCAAAGCTTATGATAGTTTTGTGAATTTACCAAAGCATAAGTAATGCAATAAAAAATTCTTAGATGACTTACATCTGGCTTTATATCATACCAAGCCTCAAAGAGAGTTCGATTCATAACAACCTTTGTTGGTGAAATATTCAATAAATAAACTGTCATTGCAATTGCTTCTACCCAAAACTGATTTGGAAGATGATTTCTTTTAAACAAACTTCTTGTCATTTCAACGATAGTTCGATTCTTATATTCAGTTACACCATTTTGCTCCGGTGTATGTGGTGTTGTCAGTTCCCTGCGAATACCTTTTTTTCACAAAAGAAATTAAACTCATTAAATAAAAATTTACCACCTCTATCTGTCTGAAGTATCTTAATACGTCTACCAATTTACCTTTTTACATGTGCCTTGAATTTTTCAAAATTATCAAATATTTTAAATTTCAGTTCCAAAATGTATATCCAACTAATACAACTATAATCATCATTAAACAATAGAAAATATCAACTTCTACCAAATGATTTTGTATTCGTAGGTCTACATAAATCAGCATGAATTAATTCAAGATAATTAGATACTTTCCATACGTTTTCAATTGAAAATGATTTCTTACTTTGTTTGTCATGAATGCATCCTTCACATACATTAAATGTATTAATCTTGGACAATCCGAATTTTTTTTTATTTTATTTAACAACCTTAAACCATTAATGTTAATATGTCCATATCTTAAATGTCATAAATTAAACTCATTCTTTTGAGTTACAATAAGAGCATTCTTTTCAATATTTGAAACATCAAGTGAAAACATCATGTTTTGTGTTATGCAAACATTTACTATAATCCAATTAGATTTTTTATTTTTAATGGTGCATGAACTATTATCAAATAAATGAATATCCGTCATTTATCAATTATCCAATACTCAATAAATTATGTGATAAACTAGGAATAAAGAAAATATTATCAAAGTGTTTTATCTTCTCTTGATTTGTCTTCACCTTAATTGTTCTTTTCTCTTCCACTTGGATTTTCTTGTTATATTCATGTCTAATTTTTAACTTATGAGTTTTATCAATATCTCTAAATATTGATGTTATGCATGATATATAATTAGAACATTTACAATTTAAAAGCCAAATATCATTTGAGATATCATTAACTTGTTAATGAGTCACATACAACTTACTACTTTCTTAATTTTTCTCTATATAGCTTGTTTGCTTTTCTCTTTTCCAACGATCTCCTTTCATGTGACTAAACTTTTTACAATAATGAATTGAATTCCACTCTTGTAGTTTTTTTTATCATAATTCGATTGCTTTTGTTCATCATGTTCATCAAAGTGTCCTCTTCCTCTTCTATTTTTTCTACCACGAAATCCTCCTCTAGCACATCCTCTTCCTATTAATAATTTTATTCTTTTGAAGTAGAATACACTCTCTAAACATGAAATGTTTTTTCTTCATTTTTTTCAAGTGTCATATTCAACCTTTTCTCATGTGCTTGCAAGGAACTCATTAATTCATCAAATGAAAAGATAGATAAATCTTTTGACTCATCAATTATAGTAACAACATGATTAAATTTCAGAGTTAAACTTTTCAAAACTTTTGCGATAATGAAGATGTTCACCATAAGATTTTATTTGACTAATAATTTCAGTCACTCGAAAAAGAAAATATTACACCGATTCATTGCTTTTCATGAACAAAATTTTAAACTCACGACGAAAGATTTGAAGTATTACCATAATCACCTTTGATGAGCATTGAAATTCATTTTGAAATATCAACCAAACTTGCCTTGAGGTTGTAGCTGGTGCAATTATTGAGAAGATTGTCTCATATACATCTTGTTGAATGAAGAACAATGCTTTTGAGTCTTTGTTTCTAGTTTCTCTCAACTTGATTTCTTCATTTGGATCTACATATTCATTCTTTATTAAGTCTCAAAGATCCTGAGACTTGAATAAAGTCTTTATCTTGATACTTCAAAATTCATAGCATTTGCCTGAAAAGATAAAAATAAGGGGTTAGAGATATGGAATTGTCATTGAAAGTCATAATGCCTAGTTCAAATTGAACTTGGCTCTAATACCACAAATGCTGGGGATGGAGATGCAAAGAAATGATAAAAATAGAATATTATAATGCAATTAAAAGAGAATGCTTTCAATCAAGTAAACCAAAGTAGTATTAAACAAGAGGTAAGACTAAGAACACTTACAAAACATTCTCAAGTGCACACACCTTTGCTTCATGAACCATGGTCATATTTATAGGACCTAATGGTAACTATCTCACCCTATCATGTCATCCATGATTAAGTTAGGTGTAATAACTACCCCCATGACAATAACTTCTTAGATCATTGGCCACTTAGGTGGAACTACCTAGAACATGGCTAGAACTACCTAAAACATGGTAACTATCCAATATAACTACCTATGAATCAATTCTCAAACATATTCTTATTGCATGAATCTGATATGTCTTTGTTGAGTGAATTGACTCGTTTTTCTTCTTCCTATTGGGTTAATCTACAAATTTCTTGGCATGCTCATCTCCAACTTCGTTTCTCTAGTCTCAGCTAAATTATGAACTTTCAGAGAGGAAGCTCAAGGACTGTTATTGTCGTGCAATTAAAGATGAAATTTTTTTATGTTTGAGGATGAAAATGGAAATTTTTGGATCATTTGATGTCTGACAAATAGTGTCATGCTAGGTTCTATTACAGTCTGATCGAATTATTGGGCAAGCCTAGTGTTATGTTTCATTATGGTTATTGGGGTTAGTCTTGATAATTCAACACAAATCACAATTGGAGCCGTATTAACTGATTATATGTTGCTCACCAAGGGCCTTTGATGTTTTTTTTCTGTTAATAGTTATTTTTATTTCTGCTATTGCTATCTTGTTCTTGTGTTTCAAAACATTAGCATCAAGGAATGGGTGCTATATCAACTAATTTAAATTATAGATTGCCTTAATAATCTACATCTGCCAGTAATATTTCAAAATCTAGCTAAAAATTTCTTTAATGAATCTGGAGTGCTTAAGCTTGACAATTTTTCTGGCTGAATAATTTGGTCATTTTAGTATTATTTGTTCTTTATATCAAACTGCAGCAGTACATTCTTCAAATGATCAGATATTAGAATCTCTGTGTGAAAACAGAACTGTGACTAAAATATAATTGCCTTGCTAACTGCCTGTTACATCCACTGCATGATGCTTCTATTAATGCTCATATTTTTTGTTCATTTGCAGGTAGCACAAATTTTGTTATACTTGCAATACTAACTCTGGTAGTAAAAGGATCATGGCATTTTCGTCAGGTAATATTTTTCTCATCGTATCAGTTTTTCCCATCACATAAAGTGTCAAATGAAGAGTATTTGTCAAGGCCAATTAGCTGTGCAGTTATAGTTCAATTTCATTTTACTTATCTTTTAACTCTATATAAGAAATTTCATTTATTCTTAAAATACAAATTTGTCAAAGAATTATACTAGAAAAATAGAACCAAAACCTCCAAGAATCATTATTTCATTTTGGAGCATCTCTTTTATGATAGTTGGAACATAAAAGAGTTGCTAATAATGACTTTCAAGTTCTCTGAGTTTATTTTGATAGGTTGTGTAGTTTTACACATTCAATTCGATACAGAATATTTAAAGTTGCTTCTGATACAGGAGCTGAAACTTGCTTCCTTTCGCAGATTCAATCAGTCATACAAGATTTAGATATATAGGTGCAAGCATACAAATAAAAATTTGTAAGCTTACTCATGTTTTGGGACAAACAAATTGTGCCACAAATTAGCTTGCTAATTATGGTCAATTAAATTGCATATCTTGTTTCTGGAAGAATGTTACCCAACGAATTTAACACTATCTGAGTTTCATAGTGTGCAGTATTTTTTTTTGACACATAAGCAAACAACCTTTCAATTTTTTTGTTATGTGGCTGTGATTGTATTTTCTCTGATTTTGGCCCGTAGACCATTTTTCATGATTATTTAATCATCTGAACCTCTTCTTTGGAGACATAACATATTATAAGACTTTGTATATGATATTCTCTCTAGAATTTATTGTTTAAGATTTTCTTTACTTTGTCTGAATATGTAGTTCTATCTTTCAGATTGTGCTGACTATTCTTGTAGCACTTTGGGGTCTTCGCCTAGGAGTGTTCCTATTGATGAGGTATGCTTATCTAAACATGACAAAGTGCACTTCATCATTTTTCACAAGTTTTCATAAATTAAGCCTCATGAATTCTAGGGCCTGCTTCTAGCTGGCTATGATATTAATGTCAAGATTCTCAAACTGTAGTGTGATTATTTTGTTTAAAAACTTGATTTTGTAAATACATTCTCCTCATCTCCTTGGAAGGCATGTCACAATTATGATTTTTAAGTCATTTCGTTTGTTAAAATTCAAACAATATCTTGAGGGTCTTAAATCTTGATGAAGTTTTTTCGTACTGGAATTAGTTTATGGTTGCATAGATCTCTTGAATATGTTCAGCATGAATCACTATCTGTGAGTATATTGTTTATAAGTAAGCTCTATTTTGTAAAGCCATTTTCCTCATCTCCATGGAGAGCATGTGAGAGTCTTGATTTTATCACTTTTCATTTGCTAATATTGAAGCAATATTTTGAGGGTTCAAACCTCAGTCAAGTTTTCAAACCTCAGCGATAATCATGATTTTAACACTTCATCTTGAGTTACCATCTCAAACATCACTGTTTATTGTGAAATAGTTATTGCTGATTCTGAGTTGCTTTTAACATATCAAATTGAATAATTGGTAATATATTAGAAATATGCCAAAATTAATGCTTGTTTTCTGAAAGCATATGATTTCATCCTAAGAACAGTTGGTACTATCTCTTGTCTGGTCTTGATCAGGATCCTGCAGTGGGGGGAGGATCGGCGGTTTGATGAAATGCGTAATAACTTGGGGAAGTTGGCTGTTTTTTGGATATTCCAGGTTATACACTTGCAAGTCAAAACTTGTAACTTTTAGGAAGTTGTCACTAGAAATTTTGTTTACTGCAGGCTGTCTGGGTCTGGACCGTAAGCTTGCCACTCACAATCGTAAATGCTAGCGATAGAAACCCATCCATCAAACCTCAAGATGTTATTGGATGGATAATGTGGTCCATAGGCATATCTATCGAAGCCACTGCCGATCAGCAGAAGTTGCTATTCAAGAACTCTCCTGCGAACAAGGGAAAGTGGTGTAATGCAGGGCTCTGGAAATATTCGCGTCATCCAAATTACTTTGGTGAGGTCAGTCAAATTTTATCTTCTGGCTGCTTTCTTTTTCATCCAATTTTGTTTATGTGCTTTGGCAACTTGTGCTGCCCAAGCGAACCGAAGAAAATACATTCTTTTGGTACCTCGTTCAGTAGCAGTTCCCTTTAATCATCTTGCTTGTCTGTATTGGGCAAGAAGATCATTCTACAGAACTAATTTAGAGTTAATATGCAGTAAGAAGCATGGTAATAGGGTCCTAGATCGTTCAAAACTTTTAAGATGTTAGATCTTGAGTTTGAATGTTGCTTCTTCAACAAGCATCCGATGTTGTCATACAATTTTGGTTTTACAAACGTCTCACTTTGGTTTTATTCCCAAATCTCACTTTTATTGATGAACAATCATGTTGCATTTGTCGATTCAATTTATTGTATGCTTGCACAGATTTTCCTTTGGTGGGGAATATTTGTGGCCTCTACTTCAGTCTTGGAGGGTGCAGAATGGCTTGTGGTGTTTGGACCCATCTTCCTGACTCTCCTGCTTCTTTTTGTCAGCGGCATTCCACTTCTTGAGGTAGGCAGTTCTAGACATAAATCAAGATGTTAGTTCTCTTGACATTGGATTTCACTGTGCTAATGGTGATATTCTGATTCATCACATGTGGAATCAGGAATCGGCCGACAAACGATTTGGTAGCATGGCAGAATACCGAATCTACAAGAACATAACTAGGTCAGTTCTCTTTGCTGTAGATTCTGACCTTCTAGTGTGTCCCCCACTCACATCTACTCGATGATCGGCCTCGCAGCCCACTGGTGCCATTACCACCTGCCGTGTACGGAAGATTGCCTGCATGGTTCAAGGTAGCTTTCCTCTTCGAGTTCCCTCTCTACAGTCGAAGTTTTCCACACGAGGGGAGATTAAACTGATACAACTGAAGCTGTTCTCATTTCCTCTTTTCGGCATTACGTTCTTCCGAAATCGTGCTGATACCTAAACCGAAACCGAGGCATGTGTGCAATTCATGTAAACTTCTTCAATTCTTGTATCGACATTCTAAACTAGGTCGTGTTGTCAATCGTTCATGTATAAATTCGACTTCTCCATATATAGCGTGTAATTGAGATGAACAGAGTCAAGGTTTATCTTGGATCATGCTGGAAGTTGAGTATTGAATTAGTTGCATGACCTCAATTGCGAAACATGAAGGTTTCGGTTTTGGAATCGATGATTATGATTTCTCAAAATCAGGAATTAGAACCGGACCAAATTTGGTCGGTTCTTCTGGCTTGAACCATTGGTTTTTTAATTAAAAATAATTTAAATTTAATATATATATATATATATAATTTAAAATTAAAAAAATTATATAATATATATATTTTTTAATCGTAAATCATCGGATCGAATGGAAATTAGAATTATCGATTTTAATTTTTTTTAATTAGAAGTAGTAATTAAATCATTAAATTTGAAATTGATAAATCATTGGATCTATATTTTGATTCTGATTCCATTTGAAATAGATGAATCGTTGAAACCAAACCACTGTGTTTCACGTGCTGGTAGAAGATGAGATTTTGACCCACCGGCAGACTGATTTTGATGCATCAACAAATGCCGGTGCATCCACGTCTCCCCTATAGCAGACAAAACAAAGGATAGGATAGGGTGGCAGTAGGTGAGCCACTGAATGCGGGAGAGTCACGAGACAAATCGGACAAAACTAGAGCACACTGCCCTCGCATCTCTGCTTTCCCCCATATCAGAACCCATCTCCCAGCAAAATCCAAAGCCAGCACTCACTTCTGAGAGCGTCTCTGAGAGAGCCTCTTCCCTCTCCATCCCCTCCCTTGTGTTCATCTCGGAATGGCCGGAAGGAGAACGCACTCGCCACCGCAGCTGAATCTGGCAGTACCGTTCCTCGCACTGCTCCTCTCCGTCACCACGCCGGTCCACGGCCTTAACATCGGCGTCCGGTCCGTCGACCCCGGCATCGCCACGGTCTGAAATCTGAATCACTTCTTGTTCTCTTGTTTCCTTGGATTGCTTGGACTCCACTCGGTTCTTCTTCTTCTTGTCTCTGCAGAGCAAGCAGCAGTGCAGCAGAAAGTGCGAGTCCGATCATTGCACTGGTAAGAGCCAGAGACCCTGCGCTTTGCTTGACATCGAACTCGTGCTTCGCTTTCTCGTCGACTAACACATGTGTCCATCGAAGTGCCACCCTTCCTGAGGTACGGCAAATACTGCGGCATCTTATACAGCGGGTGCCCGGGGGAGAAGCCATGCGATGCTCTTGACGCCTGCTGCATGGTCCATGACGCCTGTGTGCAGGCCAAACGTACTCTCTCTTCCTCCCATGTCCTTATCTTGTACTCGTATCTAACTTCATTCCGACGATGCTAACCAGTGTCGGTTTCGATGGGATGCAGATGACTACCTGAGCCAGGAGTGCAACGAGAACTTCCTCAACTGCATCGAAGCGGTGAGGGCATCCGGGAAGGGGACCTTCAGGGGGAACAAATGCATGGTGGAGGAGGTGATGGATGTGATCACATTGGTGATAGAGGCTGCCTTGTTAGCTGGAAGGGTCCTTCACAAGCCATAGAAAGGGCGGGTCCAAATTATTATTTTAGGTCTCTTCTTTTGGGGATCACACGTGACCCTACAGAGTTGGAAATGTTTTGGCATCATAATTGTACTTCTACTCTTCAAGGCACGTGACCATAAGAAATTTTTTTTTTGGCTATCGTTTATAGTCTCAGAGCAGTTCATATGATACATATTATTATCCTTTAATTTTTTTAATATATTTTAATCTTTAGATTTAAAAAAATTATATTAAATTTTTTATAATTATAAAAAAAATATTTAATATTATTTTATCATAATGGTATGGACTTTAACGATGTGAGATATAGTCAAGAATAATATGATGATTAGTCTTATTGGTGTCTCAAATGGTTCGAACTATATCTTGGTAAAATCGATAATATTAAAATAAATAAAGTTAAATATTTTATTTTT